ATTTGTATGCAAACTCAATTTCAACCCAATTTATGTTCTAAGTATAGGTGTAACAAAATTTCACTATGTTGCCCGGTAGTATTAGACCGAGACAGCAGATGCAGGTGTGGCATCCTCTAAAATTATGTCTGAATAATATATTTTGTTTGTTTAACATATTTCATTTGTTTCCTGTACATTCGCTTATCTCGATATAATATGTCCAATGAGCATATTATCTCGACATATGGACATTGTCCATATTATAAATTTCATAAAGTATGTATTTTAAAGAAACTCCGTCCATATTATCATCGTTAGGTGAACGCGCTAAGAAATTATCAATTAATGACTCGATGACGTCGTTTGTAATAAAAAAACTATTGAAAGGTTTAAGATTTCTGAAGTTGTTGCAGAGGGGATGTGTTTTTCTTGAACTTACAAACATATTTATGCCTTGAATATCCGATTCCCAGTATATACCAGTAAACAAACAATATATATTGTATATATACTTTTTTTTTCTTGTTATTGCGTACACCTACCTGTGTGGTAATGTTTAATACACAAGTGAAAAAAAAAAAAACAATAAGTATCGATAACTGCGAAAAACAAATATATCGTTGGCTGACATTATAATTTAAGAGGCCATCATAGTGGCATATGCCACTATAGGTAATGGCTGAAAAAAGCATTTCAAATAGTTTTTAGAGATAAAACACGAATTATTGTAAAATGTGTAGATGATGACAAAAAAAAAAAAAAAACACAAAAAACAATATTAATTTTACATTTTTTTTTTCAAATAACTGTAATTTTCTTAAAAATTAATATAGAATGACCCATGAATATATTGCCATTAAACCCATTACAATATCTTCATTCTCCTAAAATAATAAAGATAATCAAATTAGGTTCTTTTTTTTACATATGAATCGCAGAGATAAGGACTACAAATATTTACATTTTAATTAAAATTTTATGTTTTGAAAAAAAAAATAAAAAATAACTTTATTTAATTGTTCTCGAAAAGTACTTATAATTATATGCATATCATATTTCAACTCTATAAAATGGCAATAATCGATTTTTTTTTTTTAAATAATAAAGTATAAGGTTATTATTTTAAATTTGTTATCAACACGTAAAATATTAATTGCAATATAAATATTTGTTCTTCGTGTGAGTAATATTTAAAAAAAAAAAAAAAAAAAGAAAAAACATAATTTGATTGTCTTTATTATTTCGTATCTCATAAAAAAAAAAAACGCCCATTGGAGGTCGTTTTCGAAAAAAATTGTCTTCTACACACTTCTATAAAACCGATTTTAAAGGCCTTTTTTAATTCATTTTCGACGAACGCGTTGTTACTAAACTATACTGCTCGCGATGGCGGTCTCTTATTATTATTATATAATAAAGAGAGTATTTGAGTTAGTTGATCGAAATTCGAGAAATCGTTATGCGCAGTACTGTATGGAAAAAAATACACCATAAACCACTGCTATAAATTATACCGAGTGTTCCGCGGAGATTTCAGGTGTACGCGTTTTATATTGTATTTTAACGCGTTGGTATATTTATACGGGCGGTAATTGAGGCGTGTATATAAACCGCACAACAGCGTAATATAATGTATTTTACGATTCCGCCGTACTTTCAAAATAGCAATAAACAATTATACACATTGTTATGTATCACTCCGTATATATATACATATGAAAATATATGTATTGCGTGTGTGTGTTTGTGCGAGTGTGTAAAAAATATTTTTTCCTATCAGATAAAATGATACGACATAATATATCGTGTAAACACGACTGTGCAAGTATGCATGAATATATAATATTATAATATTGTACCATTTCATACCCCAAAGATAAGAATATATTACAATAATCTGTTTTTTTTTTTATTATCATTATATAAATCGATGTATAGGAATGCATTTCGTAAAATAATTATCGATACGATTTTACATCTAATGTATAGGTTTTGTATTATGTATAAAAAATAAAAATTAATAAAAATACTGGAATTTAAACTAAATCGATTATCCAATGTCGAACCGACGGAATATAACGTAATGAAAAATATTTTCAAAAAATCCTGAAATACAGCGAATCATTATTATGTAGATAGATCACGTGCTGCTAAATTGATGAAAAGAGTAAAGTAAATATTAATCACAAAATTATCGGTAGGTTGAAGAGATTGTTAAAAATGATGTATTTTCGCATACGTGATGATATCGACCAGTATAATATTATTTTCCTACTGTATAGGTACTCCAAAAAGCATATTATTATGAGGTTATCTCGGAAATATCACAGTCCTCTGTATATATATTTCATAACAGGTGTTTTTATGTTTTTCTTTACATAAAATCACATTAGGGTAGGCATAAAATAATATAAATAAGTACTTTTTCTGTTTTGTGTGAACACATATATGAACGAATTTCATGATTATAAAATAGGTATCCAAATACTTGTGATAACGACATGTAAATCCATGACACTATTATTGCAATATTTTGGGTTCATAAATAATAAATTATTTCAAACATTTCGTTTAAATTGCCTATACGACTCCTTCAATACTATAGACGTGTGATCAACTACATCAATGTAACATAGTGAAAAATAACAGTGGAGTGAAATGTGATAGAAATCAGAAAATAGAACGCAAGGTAAACACAATAAGTTCAAATGATATGTTAATCTATATTTTATAAAGTATTTACTTAGTATCGAAACATGTTCTTTTCGAGTTATTAAATATAATTGTTTCGTTATACGTATTTTCATGAAATTGCAACAGTTCTGGGTTTTTNTATTGGCTGTTGTAAATAATTAGTTCCCGACCAAAAACCGTCGGAAAATAATTATGTCAATTCGAATTATTATACACGATTTATAAAAATTATATATAAATTTAACTAACACATGAGTAGTGTACTTTAATTTTGTTAACTCGTTATGCCTATACAATATATTAATTTTAATTTCAAGACGTTTTTTGTCCAACAAATACCAACAAATAGTAATTGCAGTACTATGGTTTTGTTTATTAAATTCTATTGTTTGAAAGTGTTCTGTAGGTGGTATTCACTATATTATTATACATCACAGTGTTGAGTTATTTACATCATACAATGCTCGAACCGCAATACAAATATTTATATTACAATATCTTTGATATAACAATACTTATATCCATTACGCTGTAAAATAATTTAATAATATGACGAAAAGATTACGATTTTTACCGTATACCTACGGCACGGCGTGTGATAGCGGGAATATAAATTATGCGGTTAAGTCTTGACTTCAAACGCGATTATTATCGGGACGGTTTGTTTTCGCGGCTTTTTGAAACGGTAAAATACGTTAAAAGTTTCATCAGACACTTGGCAAATACGGATATCTTTTCAATAGATTATAATATACGTATTATATTTTTGTTTTGATTCCGTCGTCGTTTTGAAAATGTTGTTGATTTTCATACATAGCTATTAAAATATATTTTATTTTTTTTTCACGATAGTAGGAGTGCATAATAAATACCTATATTATACCGATAGTATACGAGCATTAATTTATCACGCGATCATAAAAACATTATGATAATGTGACGTGAGATTTGAAACGTTAATTGAAAAATTTTGATCGTTGGCGCGTTATTTTATGCCAAAAAACTGGTTCGCATTTACGTCGTTTAAGGGTGAAAAATACCAGTACAAGTTAATGTGATATTCGAATAGGTGCTGCTACATTTTACATACTATGGTTCACCAATCCACAGGGCCGGCGCTAGCTTTTGCCCTTGACGAAATACATCGAGAGACTCGTTTATAAGTATGCCTATATAGAGATACTTTATAGACTATATAGAGATATAGGGTATTTTCCAACAATTTTTTCGAAGGAAAAGTATTTGAATTGAGGGTGTATGCGAATTAAATGAACATCAGTAAGTGCGCGTAAATGCGTAATGCGTATAATACAAAACTCGTTAATAGGTAAATGGTACTACGCGTAACCGTGGAGACTCCGCCGTCGGTCGGCCATCGTTATTTCAGAAACACTCGAGCGTCCAGCGCCATACGAGTCAATACAATAATTCGTGTTTCGTGATAAATATAAAATATATTTGAAGTACCCGTAACACGTTTATATAAAACCATTATATTAATTAAATAATTACGAAATGCGAATTCCGGGGACCAGGACTGCGGAGAAGCCGGTTAAAAGTTTTCCATGACACACCGTCCCTGTACTATCTATGTAGTTAATTGTATACAACCATCATAATATAATGTTACCCATTTATTGATGGATGTATTTATGGCTAATCAGAACCACCTAAATTATTCTTAAATATTTATGAAAAATCACAACGAATAATGTAAATGTTATGCACCCATGTTTTCCATTTTCAAAAAAAAAAGTACGCACGAAAGTTTTTGGTAATCGCTAATTATTGCACTACTAACAAATGCTGTGATGGAATACTGAAATGAACTTACCCGGTATGAAAATTAATATTGTGAAGACGTGTGCACTGCCGAAGTTTTCCTTGTTCACAAAGACAATATTCACAATAAAAATAAATAATAATTATGGTTTGACAATCAAGCAACGTGCTTGATCTGATATTAATGCAATACAATGATATGTTTTTGTCGTATCAACAACAAATTAACGCAATCTAATCTAATAATACCGTTTAGTTTTCCACGTAACCTTTCCTTATTGTTTTACGATCGACGGCTGTGCGTGCAGGGTAAGGATAGTGAGTGACAGTTTCTATGAACCGACGATCGTAATAATATCTTCAAATACCCCCGTAAAAATAATTATTTATGTATTATGTACCCCCTGCAATAATGATGAAGAACACGAATTGTTATTTCTCTTACACCCAGTTTACATTCAGCCCCTTTCCGTGGCAGTGAGCAAGGAAGTGAGCATGAAAATGGGCAGCGCGAGTATGTAAACACGTCACTCGCGCTGATCATGCTCCTCGCACTGACGCTGCCCGACGCTCCCGTCAAGAGCGGTAAACTGAGCATCGCGAGCAGCAACATAACCGGCAATGCGATCAACCCGGAAATTGCTGCTCGCGCTGCTGTAATTAGCAGGGCAATGTAAACACTCACTGCCGTCGACGCTGTCACAGAAGTGTTTTGATGAGTAAATACGGCAGCGCGAGTAGCAATGGCAGCGGCCGAATGTAAACTAGGTACTACACTATTATTATTAATGATTTGTATCATTATACACAAAATAGTACAAGTTTCGAGTCGCGAGGCCCTCATGAACGAGCGGGGCCCCGGGCAAAGGCCCTGGTCGCCCGCCGTCGCGCCGGCACTGCCAATTCAAATACGCGAAAACCGCGGCCAAGTTTTTAAAAGTAAAATTACAATAATTACTGTTTGTATTTTAATCGCCATTTATTTTGCATCGAGTATCTGACGAGAGATTTTTTTTTCGTTCGACTATAATTTATTGAGTTTTTTTTTTTTACGATAACTAATTTATTAACAATTCATAATCGGTTCAAAACATTATGGTGATTTTTACAATATTCACATAGCCATTTGATATTGTTGAGTATTTTTCGGTTTTATTTGGTTTTTTGTGAATACGATTGTTATTCGCAGATCAAGCAAAACTTATGGAACATTTAACACAACATTCGTCATAACTTGTATATTTAGTGGTTTGTTTTTTTTTTTTTTTTTTTGTATTTTTTATTATATTTGGGAAAAACTGTGAACAAACGTAAGAAAAACGTTTCGGTGGTTTCGTTATTTTAGATTCTGAGCAAAGGAGCTTTTGGTTTTACAATGCTGTTAATTTTTTTTGTTTCTTTTTCGTTGTTCCTCTTGTGGACACGTTTTTTTCTAGCAAACTTGCTCCAAATTTTTCCGTGTAGCATTTTTCTGAAAGCTCTTTTGAACTATGAACTATTAAAAGAGTTAACAAGTTATTTAAAAAACAAAAAAAAAAAAAGATTTTTGTATCTACTATATCTAGCTGTATATTTTGTATATTACAACAACCCTATGAAATTTTCTGCGAAATAATATTGTCTATAAATTTCATAATAGGTACTTTTACTCTAAATTAAAAATTAAGCTAGTTTTACTTATTCTGCGTAAGCATTGTTTTTGCATTTTACCCAGTAGTTGGTAGATGCGGGTATAACGTCCTCTTAAGATTAACTAGTTCAGAGATCAAAAATGTCCTTATAGTTTTATGCATTAATTACCAATAAATATTAAATATTAAATACCATACCAACATACGAATATGTCGATAGCTTGTATTATGTAAGTGAATATAGCTAAATGACGTTTTTGGTGTAAAACAAATTATTTATAGAACATTTAAAAATCCATTATTGTAGTGAGCGGGTCCTAATTTTGTCTCAAGTACATAAAAATATTCAGCACGCCAATGTCTATGATTATAAATAGTATAATATGTAGGTATTTATAATATTACAATTTACGTACAGCAAACGTGACTGATAAGAGGCGTTGAAGATGTTTTCTACGTACCTACTATGGTTTACTTATACAAATTACCATACATAATTGTATTAATCTGTATACGGTTTGTTTGTGCTTACTTAGGAGGTATCGGTTTCAGAAAAACAAACACAAATTAAAAATTAACTTAACGTTGTTTTTTGTTGAAAATATCTAATATTCGCCTATATCGTATTTTCAGATACACATACCGATAACTGGTAACCGATTATATATTAGGACCAGGCGTTGAAAATTGCAGTGTTACTATTGATTTAAAATTATTACTGTGGTGTGCAATCTCTGAATCGGAAGTTTTACGATCAAATTATGTTATTGGAATAACATTTTATGCTAGAGAAATCTCTTTAAAAAGAAATATAGGTACACAATACATATGTACATATCGTATATATATATATATACGATATTATCGTATTATAATACGATCACATTTTTATGATATTGCTCTAGAATCCGTAGAAAATCCATAAGAATATAATATCATATTATATACATATACCTGCCGGGCAGCACTCGAACAATATCAAGTTGTTAACATTTTATAACATTATCTACTAATATTTTTTTTTTAATCTGACTTTAAATGATGTCAATCATTAGGTAAATTGTAAAGGTATCTCGTACCTACGTCACTGCAGGGACTTGAATATCGTATTAAACAGATTTATTTTGTTTTATAGGTATCAAATTACAGTACAATATCGAATTGAAAGATACAACACTATATATACCTAATCCTTCGGCGGGGGAGAAAATAAAGATAAAATTTTGAATTAATTTAAAATAAAATAAAATGTACTCGTACGAACATATTAATAATATCAATATAATTAAAGTAGGTACCTATAATTTTGTAAACATTTTAATACCAATAATACACTGTATATACAGACTGCATAAGATTATGATGATTAATTTAAGCTGTTAAGCCGTCTTAGCGGTGAAAAATATCGCTACATTGTAGCCGTGTGCTCGACAATAACGGTCCGGTATAATTTACGTTTTCATATTTTCTAAAATTTTCAGTCGACTATATTCCAAACACAAATAGGCATTTTATTGTGTTGCAATTTCGTAGTTGATTAAAGGCTATACATTATTATACAATAGCCATGCAAATAAATTTACCTTTTATTTTTTCCATTACTATTAACTTTCAAATGACCTGATAATACATTTTTAGTACACAGTACACGATGGTGCACGTTGCACGTACCACGAATATAACCCGAACTTGTGTAAAGTCAGATAGGGGTAATACATATATATTCTAATACAGATAATTTTCTGTGTATAGGTTTAGTTAATAAAAATTTTTTTTATTGTTACAACAAATATCCAATGAAAACGTTAAGCGTCACGAGTGATGTTAAAATAGAAATATTATACGATCAGCATAATAAAGACCAAACACGGCGGAGAAAAAAAAATAATTTGTGATGGACTGACATTATGAACAATGTAATATTTTTGAGAGAGAGAGAGAAAGAGAGCCAAATAATTCAATTGTTTTCCTCGTTGATACCTATAGATAAACTACCCACAATGTATACAATCAAATGTAATATATTTTGTATATTTAAATTCAAACACATTATTTTATAAATAATAAACGATTTAATTTGTACTCCAATATGAAATAGTAGTATAATCCATTGATTATATGTACCTATATCATAATTTTCGGTTCCGGTTTTGACTTAGAATTATTATAATTGTTGAGAAACATGATAAAAATAAACCAAATGGAGATATTTAAAAGGACTGATATTGAATTTTTACTGCCGAAGACACTGATTTATAACCATTTTGTACGGTGCTAACTTAATTTTTTCACCATATTGTTTGACCATCAAAAAACTTGGAACACCGTCCTTCCAGAAAAAAAATTCTACGGCACTAACACTAATTGTATTATAAATTCGGAACTCAAACGACAATATTTTATTGTTATTATTGTATAATTTATAGGTAAGTGTATTACTATACTTTGTATCTGATGTACAACTATGTATATACATATGTTTTGCATATATTTTTGGTAAATACAATAAAATAATATTTTTTTTAAATTTTGATGTTCACCGTGGAACATTTTGACGGCCTTGACTATGTCGTAGACACTAGACCTAGTTTTATTGGTAAATACTTTGGGAAACGCCTATGGTCTTACTTAATAATATGTTCGTGTATAAAATATGAAATACGAAATATTATGAAGTGTTTAAATATTTGAATAATCCGGAATTATTATTTTTACAAAATTATTATTGTTACATTTTAAATTTTTATTACAAATCGATTTTTTTTTTTTAACAATTAAAACACGTTGGATAATTAATGATTTTTAAACACAGTTTTATAGACTCTGAGCGAAGTTTAGTTTTACTACGACATGTTTCTTTTTTTGTGCCTGTATACAACTTTACTATACTACCAAAAATCCACATAATTATGCGTCATGAATTAGTTTTTTTTTTTTAAACCGATTCAAGTTCAAATTTTTAACGAAATTCGTAAAAATCACGGTATCTCAAAGCATCAATCAGAATATTCTAGTATGGCATATCATATATACCATAGTTACATAGTTCGTGCATTCGTGAAGCTACTGTTTTGACCTGCAGCACAGTGAGAAAATGTAAATTCTTTAGATAATTTTTTAATCTATTAAAACTCACTAATAAATATGTTATACTCGCAATTTACATCATGTGATTATGTTGTATGATTTCGATTATATAAAATAATATACCTAACTTTTAATTTGCGTAAAAATCTATAGAAATCTAACGAACTTAAAGAGTGTGCTTTTCTTGGCATACATGTGATAATGTTAATTAATTGCATTATTATATTATAACTAAAATTATTTATTACTTAATAATCGAATTATAATCGAATTATAAACAAGAAAAATAAACCGGTAAATTATATAACACCTATATAAATGTGTGTGAATTTCAATAAAAAATATGTGCTGCAGTAAATTTAGAATTTAAACTATACTGTATTTCAAATCAAAAACTTGTAACATATTAACGGACATAGTTCTACAACAGAAGAGTGACATTTAATAACTGTATATTATGCAAAAAAAAAAAAAAAAAATTGTATTGAAAATAGACGAATTTTGAAAAAACAAACAATGGTTATATGTTATTTGGAAAAGCTATAAGAAATAAATAATTATTTTCTTCCGTATTAGAGAATCACTTTAAAAAAATAGATACATAAATATATTTTACTTATTCATAATATTTGAAAAGAGCACGTTTATAATCATTCATGTTTTGTATAAGCGGCACGTGAACGTTAATCGTATTTTTACAAATATAACGTGCACACTAAACATAGTTAATTATTTTTGATAAATTTAAATAATTGCTATTCCTCTAATAAATTTTAAAAGAACAAAGGTATCAAGTATAGAGAAGAAAACAAATTAAACAATTGTAATTAGGTAGATGTGAGTTATTTAAAATTAAAATAATAATAATATTATGTTAATATGGTTTATGTTAAATGTCAACTGAAATGTCAACCTATTATGAAGTCAAAAGTTAATATGTCATCAAATAGTTTTAAATTTTAAGTCTGGTGTAACATAAACAGTGGAGCTTTTCTAATATGTTTTCACCTTTAAAAAAAGACGGATATACTTCGCATGATAGATGGGCTAATGCTGTAGATACGAAGTTAAAAAGGTAAAGGGAAAATGTAATGTTTATCCGCAGTACCTATGCAACAATTAACCATTGATAACAAAAAGCGATTCTGAGCGGAGTTCGGTTAATAATGTTGTTTTGTCAATAATGGATATGTCATATTATGGTAAAATAATTTACATT